CAATGATAAGAGAGTTTGAGATATTCTGTAGACGAGATACTATTATTCATTTCTATAAATACTGGGCAAGAGAAGCATTACTTACTTGGTTTTCTGCTTGATATCCAGATGGTTTAAAGACAATATTGAAGTCTTTCTCTGCTATGCTAGATGCTTCATATGAGAACGTGTTTTTCGTCTGTTAAGACCACTGGGAAGATGACAGAAAGACTAAAACTGTTTTGCTGCTTTTTCTTTTTGGCTAAGAGAAAATTAATTGTAATATTTTCCAGTAATTTAATTTTTAAAAGAATACATTTACCCCCAAGCAATAAAACATTAGGTTCTGATGAAATCATGAAAACAACTTTTGTCTTGCTGAATTACCACGCTGCGTTTTTGTGAGGCTGCTGAACACCTACGGTTTTTGTAGATGTGTTCAGCAGGGCAGCTGTATCACCCAGCCCGTTCTGCAAACTGTGTGCCAGAACCGTAGTCTCACCAGTGTGGCGCTGTAGAAGGGAATGTTTTGTCCATCTAAATCAATCTAAACTGTTCACCTTGCAGTTCTGCTTATTGAAACCCTCAAGTGCTTTCAAAAATCTGTAAAGCAACAGGGTTACAGCTACAGCTTGTTGGGCTTATTGTTTGCGTATGATAATTTTCTGGCTTTTGCCCTGTGAAATAGCTGCTGAAGCCTTCACGGAGCTGAACACCTATCGCATTATGGTCTGATCCTGACTGATGCAGAGCATCCTCAGTCTTGAATTATTTGTGCTCAGCAATTTTTAGGGTGTTTTAGAAGCAAGTTAAAATAGGAAATTCTGAGCCAGAAAGGTAAAATCAGTACCCTATCCTAAAGAGTACATGTTCAGGGTCATTACTCTGTGTGAAGAGGAGGGAAGAGGATTAGACAGAACTGCTGAACATGCGTTTTATAAAATTCATTAGCTCCTTGCCTTTATGATCAGGTGCTTCAGGAGAGGAGACAGAAAATGTTTATATGGATAATGCAATGCGTTTTTGATCTTAAACTTTATTGCACCATCTTATGTCCTCATGAGTTGAGCGAGCCTAGCAATACAAAGTATGAGTCAAAGTTCACTTCTGAGCCTGTGCCTACAAGCCAGTTGCGATGGAGCCTTTTCATTAAACGAATCTAGAAACTGGATAGATTTTTATTTCTCATATGATGCGTGGTTGTTCTGTAAGGGAGAGAATACTTCTTGCTCATTATGTAGGTATCATGTACCATAAGCTGTGGTCTAATACATTTTCCACTGAATATGTATTGGCACAAAATCCTCTGTATAACTCAGCTCCAAAATGTTAATTTTACTTTGCTGTTGAATATTGGAAACAAATTCAAAAGTTCAGTTATGAATCAATACAGCCCATAGCCGGGCTTGTCATTTTTCGTGATGTGGAGTTGCCAGTTCAGATTTTCTCACTGAAGACGGAAGCTAAGGTGAGGGTAACGTTTGTGGAGGGAGTTTAGAGAACAAAACGTTCAGATGACACACCAAACAGTTCGCCGCCACAAAGCCAAGATGGCCCCCAAGAAAAATAAAAGTGCCATAGCCCGTGCCAAAATAGAGTATGAGGGGATCGTGTCCTGGAGCAGGCAGTCGAAACGCACTGGAACGTTCCCCTGCGCTTCCCGAGCTCCCAGTTACGAAACTGCAAGAGCTGCTTTTTCAAAGGGACGCGGTGAAGGAAACTTTGAAAAGGAGAACACTGGGCTCAGTGCTCGAGCAGGATCCCCTGCGCTGGAGTTGCTCTTACGAGGTCACCCTGCTGTACAAGAGTGTGTCCAGCCTGAAGGTCACGGTGTCCTGCATCATGTCCTTGTAAAGGTCAGGATGCTACAGCCAAAAAATGTTGACTGGGGCACCACCTCTGAGCCTTCCTTGTGTTATTCTTAGGATATTTGAGATTTAGAGAGGATTTTGTTCTCCCCTCACTGGCTGGCTTTCTGTGTGTTTTTCCCAGAAGTAAGGCGCAGTCTGGTGTCTGTGGGATGAGTCTGATGTCCACAGGTACAGCAGCAATGCCACCCACTGATCCATGAACTTACTTCCAAAAATGAAGAGATGAGCATAACAGAATTCAAGATATTCAGTTGTTTTAATTGATTTGTTTTTCTCTCCATTTTTTGAACGTTTAGGAGGAGATCCACCTGCCTGTGGCATTTTCAGGTTCAGTCTAAGATGTGTTCAGAAAAACGTGAATCTCCCAACCAGAAGGGGGTTCCGCTCGCTTCTCCTAAACTGCTTTCTCTCACTCCAGCTGTCACTATTTATCGTTCCGTTCAGTTTCTTCAGGGTCTCTGCTTCCCTCACTGTGTCCCGTTGTCTCCATAGTCTCTGAACCATAAATGTGCCCCGCTCTATCCTTCTACGTAACATCTTTCCCAGCAACCCCCCTGCAAATGTTCCCCTCATTTCTGCCCCTTTCCAGTTTTCCTATCCTTTTTAATCTCCCCAGTACTCTCTGCTATCCGACTTTGTCCCCTGATGCTGTGTTTTCCCTGGGTGTCTTTGCAGAGCTTCCTCTTGCTGCTCACGAGGTTTGTCAGCCGGCTCCTGGCCGCCGCCACTTCCCAGGCCCACGGCAGTGTCCCGCTCGGTCCCGGATGTGCTGGTAGCCTTCCCCTGCCAGGCGCCGTCGCATTCCTCCTGCCCGCTCGCGGTCTCAGCGGGAGGCTCTTGCCCTTGAAGGCAGCTCAGCTCCAGTCGCGTTGGAAACGGCAAGCGTTAGCGTGCCAAAACTAGCTGCCACTGCTTCAACGTGAAGCAATGGAGTAAGGATGAAAACCCCCCTCAGTCCTCCTGCCCCGAGCGGTGTAGCCCTTTTATATATTCATTATTTAATTCAGTGCATTTGTATGTAGGCGGAGGCACTTGGTGAGAGTGGGTGAACGCTTCACCACATTGATTAATGTTAATTGGTTAATCACCTTTCGTTATGAAAACGGAAAGTAAGTGCAATAATTGGCAATATGGCTTGACAGCATGCCTAGATTGGAGACCAGAGCCTGAGAATTAATTCCAAATTTGACTTATCTCAGGCCAGTGGAGATTAAAATACCAAAGATGTGCCTTTGTTGATTTTGGGCAAATAGGAATATTCTTTTCCTGAGGTGTAGCTGTAGATCTGAAACAAAATTCGGAATATCTGCATTTTAAAAATAGAGTAAATATGTTGCTGCTTTCTTTTGAGGTATCCAGTATGAAAGTGAGGGCTACATTGTTAAAATAAAATAAAATAAAAAAAGGGTTGAACTCTTAGTGACTGAAAACAGCATGCTGCCCTTTCGGCTGCCTCTGCTCTCCGGTGGGGCGATCACACGGAGAGCTGGGATACCAACCTCTGGGGTGGCCCCAAGTTGTCTGAGCTTGTGACTCAGAGCCATGAGACCTTGGCTAGCTCTTTGTAGATGCACAAGAGTGCTGAGCATATGAAGGATCATCTAATGAAGACTACTCACTGTGTTGTTAGCAGAGCTTAAACATAAAAATTGTGTCACTTGTGGAAAGAAAGATATTCTATAAAGTCCATGAAGGCTCCCGTAAATTCTTGGCCTGATGTGGTAGAGGCCGAGACTGTGACTCACCCGCCTCATTCCCATTTGTGCCCGTTCACATACTTTTTAGTTGTAGGCACTGAAAAAGAATCAGATTTTCTCCAGCATCTTCCACATTTATGCAGCCTTCAAGAGGAAACTGCTATAATTAACACAGATGCCACATACAATCCTTCCTTGCTTAAAGTAGCACGCAGTGCTGGGTCCTCAGGAGACATTCAAGCTTTGGGATACTGGAAGGGATAAATAGTTCTGTACTTCCACAGTGGTTCCACCAATGTGCTACATCCTTAGAAGGAAAAATAGAAAATTATTTTACTTCTGACATACAAAATGCAGGAGAAAAGAATCATTTTTAAAACATTTCTAGTACATTTGGAAAGACTGTTCCAATCACTGTCGGGTACAAAGCAGTATTAAAAATGGGCTCATTTACCGTGTTTATATTGGCAGTTGCTAGACTGACCAGCTAGTGGAGATCTCATCGTGCTAGGTGCTGTCCATTCATGTAGCAAAAAAAAACAATACCTGCTCCAAAAAACTGATTTCTAGACAGATGTGAGGAGAAAAAGAGGATGTCCATGCTCTATTTTAGATTGTGGGACGGAGGAAGACTGTACCAAAGCCAGCTATCTTATTATGATGCTTTAAACAAAAGACTATCTTTTCCATCAGACATTTCATAATTAGTTTTTTAGACAAATGACAACGGCCCTCATGCCCAATCCTAGTCTCATTGGGAAAAACGGCAGAACTCCCAGCTAGAATTTTTCTCTTTGTACAGGATTCATTGAAGAACTTTGTATTTCTCTTTTTTTCTGCTTCTTTTAATAAGTTGGTATATAAACAATAATTCTAGGATTAGTAACTAATTATTTACAAGAGGGACAATTTCTAGACAGATGTGAGGAGAAAAAGAGGATGTCCATGCTCTATTTTAAATTGTGGGACGGAGGAAGACTGTACCAAAGCCAGCTATCTTATTATGATGCTTTAAACAAAAGACTATCTTTTCCATCAGACATTTCATAATTAGTTTTTTAGACAAATGACAACGGCCCTCATGCCCAATCCTAGTCTCATTGGGAAAAACGGCAGAACTCCCAGCTAGAATTTTTCTCTTTGTACAGGATTCATTGAAGAACTTTGTATTTCTCTTTTTTTCTGCTTCTTTTAATAAGTTGGTATATAAACAATAATTCTAGGATTAGTAACTAATTATTTACAAGAGGGACAGAATTTTTATTTAAAGCACTCCGTTGTTTACTTCAAGAGTACTTATGTGTCACTGAGTCACCAAACCACAATTAAATTCTGGGAAATGGCTTGTTGCTGATGTTCATTGGGTCATGTGACACAGTGGGATGGGTCAGATTCTGATTGTAATTGGCAGCCCAATCTAAATTTGTATCCTCTTTAATCTTTTAATTGACAGACTGTAAAGGAGTTTGGAGTACCACAAGATGTCAGACACAAAAGAAAAGAAGTTGTTGTCAGCTCAGTTGTGCTGTTCTGCACATAGCAAACATCAAGCAGAGTATCTGCTTTTCTCCAGAGAGTTTAAGGAGATGCTCTCTTTTCTGAGAAGAGCCCAGAGTCTCGAGTAGTTTGCTGGGGAAAAAAGACAAAGAGATAAAAAACACGGTCAAACATGTAAGCTGGAGGAAATTTTACCCTTTCCTGCTATAAAACTTTCAACTGTTTTTACTTTGCACTTGCTTTACAATTACAGTAAAAATTAAAGAGGATGGGGTGTTTTTTTTTTTTAATCATGAAGTAATTCTGAATCTTGCAATAATTTAGTTTAAAGATTTACCAGCTATGCCAGGTTAATGTAACGAGGCATAAAATGATGAAAAAGATGGAGCATAAATTACAGTGAAGATAATAGAGCCGTTACTACAGAAGGTCTAAATTTGCATGCAGGAGAAAAAAAAAAAAAACCTGCTATTCAGCTGGCTGGTCAGCCAGGGGAGATGGGCAGTGCTGATATTTTTCTTCTCGGAGTTAAAGAAACGGGGGAGCCGCTTGGCCCCCGGCCGCCTCCGGGCTACTGTGTCCATCCCTTTGCCTTTGGGGAGCGGCGATAAAGCGTGAGGTGGACGGGCGCTATGCGCGCCTATGCGAGGGCAACGCAGTTGTTTCCCCCCCCCCCGGCAGGATTTTCTCTGCCTTGCAAACACGGTGACCGAGTTGGTTGATGAGCTTGGGTGAAATTGCAAGACTGCGCCCCAGATACATTAATTATATGGTGCGTGTGCTTGCTGTAACTCACCTGCTTTCTAATTCTAGTTTCATAGTCTGTGCCTAAATAGAGCAGATGCTCTTGATGTCCTTTTAGCCTGCTGTTGATGGAAGATATTTCAAGGACAGGAAACGTTCCCAGTGTAAAGAAGCAGCAATTAAGTGGAAATACGTACTTGGCTGGGATGCTGAGCGCACAGAGAGAACTAAACAAAGGTCAAAACACAGTTCATGAAAATAGAATGTTGATGAGGACTAATATAAGAGAGATTCTATTTCCCCTATAGAAAGTCATGAGTATCAAAAGATAGATATTTCCTGATAATCAGAAGAGCTCGATTCTGATCTCATGCTAGTTTTACACTGGCATTAGGGGGTCAATTTTAGGCTGCGAGTTTCTTATTTTAAAAATTCTAATGAGCTGTTTTCTCTGTTTTGGAATAATACCTTTAGGATTGTCTCTGTTTAAATCGTCTATGAAGTGCGCAGAAGCATTTTTTTCCACATCAGCAGCTATCAGCTGTACAAGCTCATTCTTTTTGACCCTGCCTCCAAAGTCCTGCTATCCACACATCCTCCAGTCCAGCAGGTTTCGGACATGACTTGTGTTCATTGCCTCATGTAATGCAACAAGGTGCATTGAATTTAACATAATGTGTTGTGCCATCAACATGGCGTGTAGTGTTCAGGATCCAAAATGTTCCATCCTGTTTAAAAGTTAACGTTATTAACATAACTATTATGCATTTTTGCATTTATGGACGTATTACATGGGGTGTTTTTTTTTTCCTTTTTTTGGCAGGTGACATTGGTGACAGAAGAAGAACAAGAATGATTACTTATCCATAACTCCCAGCAGTATGTCAGGTAATCATATTTCCTAAGAGTATCTCTACAATATTTCTTGCTTTTTTTAGAGGGTTTATTATTCAAAATTTACTGCAAAATAGTGCTTTTAAAAAGTTCTGATTTCACTGGTGCTGGGAGCTGAAGTCTTCCCTCTACCCAGAGTGCAACGAAAGGAGGCATGCAGTAATCTTCCCTTATGTTTTCCCCTGAAACTCCTGTCCTCCTTGGGTTTCCTTCAGCAACAGTGCTATATTTTATTCTAAATGCACATTTCAGCTTCAACTTTTCCTGCTAACTGCTGAAACTGCCAGTTACAGTGACAGTTTCTGCTGACTAGGTTGGCAGAAGTTATTTTGTAACAGGGACATATTCCTGGAGGTTCAAAGCGAGACAGTCAGATTCACTTTATATTGATTACTAAGCACTCTCCAGATAATAATTGACCGAGTCTGTAGGTAGGCTGACGAGCCAGAGTTAAAATGACGCTTAACCATTTTAAGTCCTGTTTACCATCTTGTCCCTTTCAGTTGTAAAGTATAGCCTTCTAATGAAGGCTATACATGAATTAGCTGTGTCAAAAAGATATAGAGACTAGTCCAAGAAGAGGATGTCCACAAAGATTTAGTGGTTATATGGAGATCGTATAGAAAGCCAGAGAATTTCAGACTTCTGCAATATGTTTCAATATTCATAAAATCACATACGAAAAAGAATTGTTCTGCTGATATTGTTTGTCAGTGGCAATTAGCTGTTGGAATATGTATAAATAGATCCTTTTAAAAGCCTCTTTGTAAAATGCAGCATGTGTTACATAGGGAAAGTCATAACAAGCAAGCCTCAATACCTGATGTTATGCTGAAGGGGCAGTTTGTTTGTACTGTCTGGGCAGTTCAAATATCCTTTCTCCTAACCCTAGAAAGCTCCTATCCCACTGTCTGGCATTGGCTAGCAAAGGATAAAAGCTGTTATCCACCAACAAGGCTGTGGCTTTACATTTGGGGTTCTGGATGTAAGGTGGAGAGTAACATTTAACAGACATGTGGAGGAAAAAACGAATATTATTTAAATGCATGCTTTAATAACGTATTTTTTGCATATGTGTTTATTTTCCATGCCAAGATGGATCATTTTACTATTCTCCTTATGGCTTCTTTGCCATTCTTCGAAGCAGGGATTGGGCACAGGTGAATATAAGACGGAAGCAGAGGGCATCAAGGCTTCTGGTGAAATGAAGTTGCCTTGTCCTTGATCAGCGTGTCGGGCTCGAGATTAGCATCACCGCCGCCTCAGGACTGGGAGGGAATTTGTATCCTTAGGCTAGGATAGGCAGGGCCTGCTGGAAAGTTTTTGCATTCTTCTGTAGTCATTCTTGGCATGATAGTTTAATTAAACAAATACCTGTTTTTGCAAGAGGTTGTGACATTGACATATAACTCTGAGTCTCTGCAGCTCGCTCATGTGCTCTCTTCAGTCTCGTGTTACAGCTTCGTTTTTTGACCTTTTGCTACAGGGCTTAAATTTTCTATGGTTTTGAGGGGCGTGTTTAGTAGCTTGTGCTGCATGATGGCTAATGATGAGGTCTAAAATGCAGTATACCTGCTTTACCCTCACCTTACCTGTGCAGGGTGTAGCTCTTCCGGCGGGTCTTACAGAGATCCCTCCCTAACTCGCTGGCCAGACCTGTTCCCCTGGCCTTCCCCCCGCAGGACAGCTCTGCTGAGCTGGGTGGAGACAAAGCGTAATTGGAAGAGCCTGCACTTTCAGTATTTCTTTAGAAAGGAGTGGGCAGAACAAATATGTGCAAAGAAAACATTTACCAGGCAAAAAAAAAAAAAATGCTCATTGCAGAAGTGTTGGTGCAGCTGGAGATGTCCAGGGCTTTCCACTCGAAAGTTTTTATTTTCTGTTTCCCATTATAGGGATGAAATTCCCTACATGAGTGTGACTGTGAAAAGAAACATGGATGACATAAAAATCTTTCAAACTTTTGGCTGTATAAATACCACAGTGCAGAGCCAGATAAGGCTCCTTTCCCAATGAATGAAAATCAAAACTTAGGTTCTGTTACTGAGTCACTGGAATATGAGAGCGGAATCTCATCCAAAACCAATCCAGTTGCCTAAAATAATAGGCTATGCTATAGTGATTTTTGGTAGATCATTTCTCTGTGCATATGTTACATTTTTATTGCAGTAAGAATTTTTCTTTTGTAGGCACTGTCCAAAGCCCCCAGTTTCTAGTGCAATCTAGAAGAGTTTTGTCTGAATGAAGGTTGTAGGATTTGGCCTGGGGTGGTAAAGCTAGGCTTTACTACATTTTACGGTTGCCACAGGATAAATATTTTGAATATTTTGACATCTCAACTTCAAAAACATGCATTGGCATGATTATTTTGTAGCATACCTCTGTGATTGTATATGTTTATAGCTTTAATAAGGAGAGAGTTCAAATTTTCCAAAATGATAGTGGGAACTTCAAACTTTTCTGTATCCAATTCAGGTAACGCGGAAGGATTTCAGAAAAGTAAAAATCCTTGCTTATAAGTACATACATTTGAAAATAAAAAGTGAAATAAATGCACTAGGTACAATATTTTCATGCAAAAACATAAGCTCAAAGAAAAATATTAACAAAGTCCAAACTACCATCGTTTTTTCCTAGAATGCAGTCAAAATAAAGTTCATGCAGAAATGCAAATGGGGCTAATGAACACCTAATATTGTGTGCTTGATGGCATTAGAAGCTGACAAGTGAGAAGCTGAAGTTACAGGTTTTGTAATCTCTGTGCTCGTCTATATGCTTTTGCAACCACGCTAATTATAAATGTCCAGGCTTGCTTAGCCTGTTTGATGTACGCCTAACTCAGACGATGACCAAACCGGCAGGTAGGGTGATGATTCAGGAGGGGAGAGCTGGACATAATACATGTCTTGCAGATGAGACAGAACACATTCTGTTCTCATAAGCATGGTACAGCCTTAAAATAAATAGTTTTCAGGCTACTGATCACACACGCACAAAGCAAATCCAAAAGTTCAGCTTCCCTAATTTGGAGCCTGATTTCTTTAAACCTTTCCCTTCTTTTATGATCAGCTCAGTAGTAAATCTGATGCTTTTGAAGAACAACAAGAGAAATGCATTTAGGGAGTGTAAAACATATTTTATTGACATGGAAATAGCTAGAAAATGCTCGACTGGACAGTAGCGTTCCCATAGTTCATCGTCAGCTTCACAGTTGGCAGCAAAAGTACAGTCCATGGAGTTCTGGAAAAAGATTATAAGCATTTTAAAAATAGTCCTATTTCAGCAATAACTACAAGTCTGTCTGCCATACATTTGTACAGTAGAATAGGAAATTTTAAAAGTTGGAAAGGAATATTTTCCCGTAGAGATGATACAGTTCTTTTAAATAAATAAAAATAAATATACAGTATAGCTTGTAACAGAATTCTTCCTGTTTAAATACTGTAGTGAAGCTTCTGGCTGTAGCACCATCATTCACTGGCACTAACCTACCGCTGACGGCTTCTGTGTGTCTGTTCACTCCAAGGCACAGGGCAAGCCTTGAAACAAAGCTCCATCTTACTTCACTTGCTGGAGTGAGAACTGGAGACGGAATACAAGAATGGGTTCCAAAACTTCAGAAAATAAACAGTATTTGCAGAATATCATGGATCTCAATAATGTCGCCTTCACAGTCAATGAAATCTTCAGTGAGGCCAGGATTTTACTCTGTGAATGTGTTTTGGTTTCATAATCGACCCTGACATTGTGCTTCTGCACTCAAATATTCACACTGTTCTATTTGATAATGACTGTAAAGTTAGATCAAGATAGGAATTATAATAAAATTAAGTGCTTACTTTAGGGAATATAATTTAAATGTCATAAATGCATATTTTCAGTAAGTAGATTTTAATATGCAGTATTTCTTGTAACAGGTAACTCATTTGGAAAAGAAAATTAATCAGCTTTTATGCAAACAATGCATTTGAAAACCAGTATTTCCAAGGGGCTTGCATGTAATTTCCAACAACTGGGAAAAGTAATATAGTAGGATAAGAGAGGATCTCTTTTTGAGTCTTTGCACTGTAATGCTCATCAACCTGTAAATTTGCTATTAGGTTCAGATGGAAAATAGTTTATTGTGTAACATCAGATAAGAAATGATTTCTCCCGAATTTCTTTAATGATTTTTCTAGGATAAGTTAATTTAACGTACATCACTGTCTGACAGCGCAAACTGTCCCACGCTTCTTGTCCAACAGACCATGGTAAAATCCCACTAACTCAGATGTATTGTTTCTTTTCAGTAACGGACTTTTTAGAAGGGCAGTAAATACTTTAATATAAGGTTTTATTATGCTAGGATTCAGCAGCTTTGTAATGAGCTTTTGGGGATTTTCAAAAGGTTAACAAGATTTATATTGTGGGTTGTTTTTGCATGAAGCTATGAATCACTCCATGATGGCTCTTATTACTTAGAAGCATATTTTTGAATATGCAGTTAAAAATATCACACTTAGTAAGTTCTAGGTTACAGACGTTCTGATTTAATTTTAACTTTTTTGTTTTAAACGTTAATGTTTATGTGCTTTCAAGAAGCGCTATATAAATACAAAAGTTACGAAAGGCAAGTAGTCTATATAAACGCTTTGTAATGTTTCAAGGTTTTATACAATTCTCTAATAATACGTCGAGATTTTCTTTCAGTTCATGAAAAAAAAGGTTCTCTAAAAAGTGTTACGACTCTGAAAAGTCCTGGGGGAAACAGGAAGGTGTTTGAGTTTGGTACTTACAGCTCAAGAATACCTTCTGCATTTTCCAGAAAAGAGGCACATATTTTTCAAAGAAATAGTATCTGATTGGATTTCATTGTGAACGGAGCAGAGACACATGTATTTTTTTTAGTTTTGCAGTGTCTCGTAGCCACTTTCTTAAGTGTGTTTCATTATGTTAGTGTTGGTATTTTTTCCTTTTCCATTGCTTTCAATTAACAACCATTATATTTAGTCCGT